TGTTATAACTAGCGGTATCAGGGGCCAGTCCGCTCTCTGCCAACTCAACCAAAAGTTGCCGTGTAATGTCCATTCTTACATAAACCATTGATTATTGAATTATAAGTCAAAAGACATGGTCTCAACCCTGTAACTTTCATCAAGTTTATCACTTCATAGGCTTCTTCCAGAAGCCCCACGTGACAATATGCATTTATCAAAGTATTGTAAGTCACCATATCCGGAAAAATTCCCTTTTCTTCCATTTCTTGAATAAACTGCTTCACACTTTCAATTTTCTCATCTTTACACAAAGCATTCACCATTATATTAAGGGTATATACATTTGGCTGAATGTCACTTCCTCTCATCTCACCATACACTTCCCATGCCAAGTCGACCCAACCAATCTTAACAAGCCCTCCTAGAAGACCATTACACGCATTAATCGAAACACAAAGATTCCTACTTTGCAACAACCTAAATGCTTCTACAGACTCCCTAATCTTCCTAGCTTGTACATAAGTCCTAATCAACAAATCAAAAGCATATGGATTCGACCCGCATATCCCATAAGTTGACACCAAAGATTCCACAATCTCAATTCTTGAAACACCACTTCGTCTAATCATCCTAAGGATAAAAGCCTGTGCATCAGCTACCCTCTTACACCTAATCAACACATGTACCACAGCGCTCAATGAAGTCAAGGAATGCTTGAAATTAGGACAATTTACAGTAATCAAGTTGATGAATTTTTGAGCTAAATGCAAATTATCACGACAACTACCAAGAACTTCAAGAAAAGTAGCTGNGAGGAATGCTTGAAATTAGGACAATTTACATTAATCAAGTTGATGAATTTTTGAGCTAAATGCAAATTATCACGACAATTACCAAGAACTTCAAGAAAAGTAGATGGATTTAAACGATGTAATAATAGTGATGAATTGGTGATTGTCTTACCTTGTTTTAGGTTCCATAGAATTTTCTGGACTAAAAAAGTGTCATCAGATGGTGGGGTTGTTGTGGTGGAGGTGGGAAGTGAAGCAGAAGTTGTTGATGTGCCTCTGATGGTGGATTTAGGAAGGCATAGTAGGCGCTGTGCTTGTGCT